ACTACCACTGGACGTTGCCAAATGGATAGAGAGCAACGAGATTTCCAGTAACAACTTAAGAAATTCCACATAATAACTGTGATATCGTAAAATTATTATGAAAAATGCGATTTGTTGTTAAAAAGAGTACTATCATTACCATTGTCGTATCTTCCAATAATATTGAAATATAAACGTACCTCTGTTTGTTGTATATTATTTTGTTGTTTTATTTCATTCAGTTCATGGAAATATATTAATTCTTTAATTGAAAAAAAAGTAGCTGATAAAAATAAAACAAAAGAAGATTAGTAGGTACTAGCTTGGACTAATAAAATTAGTATTTACAAAAAACTAAATAAAATAAATCCTATTGAAAACTGTTCCAACAAGATTGCACCGATTTAAGTTATTCTATTATTAAAAAATTAAATACTGAATTTATCGAAATACTTTAATATATTAAATTGTATGGGTATATTAAAACAAATTGAAATTTTTAAAAAAAGGGAATTGTTGAAATAAGTTACCATTAAAAATAAAACAAATTGGCGGCGCTTGAGCTAATGAAATTGGTATGAATTAGGTATAAACACAAACAAAACATATAAATGAGATATGTTTTAACAAAATTTATATCACTTCAATAACTGTTTCGATTAGGTGACTTTTATCAGCGACGAATACAAAAATAAAAAGCAGTATTAATTTATCAACAATTCCAATTAAATTCTTATAAACTACGAAAATATTTAACATAGAATACAGATTTTTATAAAAACAACTTTGGGATAGTCAGACAAAAAATGTAAATCTAATTTTACAATTTTAAGCAATAAACTATTTCTGTAATAATCTGCTGCTACTTACTTTATTTGAATTTTATGGTGGATTTTTATTAACTAAGAATGCGTCAGAAGCAGTTACAAATTTCAATACTTCGTAAGGCAACTGTTTAAACAATTCTATGTGAAGAGTTGCCGTCTCATATGTTAGTTTTACCTCCTGATCAGTTCAATCAGAACAATTTGTTAAAACACAGAATTACGCTCTTTAAAGATTTTGTTTTTAATGGGTACTTTGTTCTATTTCCTGTTTTTGCATTTCTTTTAAATGTTTAAGACCTATTTTGAAAAATAAACACATACTTTTTTCTAAATAAAATGCAAAAAGAATTCTACCAAGATAAGTAAAAAAATCAAACATGTTCATACGAAAATAATGAAATACATTCTAATATAAGGAATTTAAATGAAATTACAGTTTACCTTTTGCTCGAGTGATGCATGTAGGAAATTTTGATTAACATAAATCCATATAATGATGAAGTGCGTACCGTAACACCTAGTATCAAACGTTGAACTTTATAATTAAGCAGTATTAGCAGCATACTAGATCATGAGTAGATTATAATTACCTAACGCAATTCAGATTTGCAAAATTTTTATTTGATTTATTTATGAAGTGAAATCGTATATTATTTACGATTAAATAATACATTATAGAAGGAAGTATTACTGAATTTTATTAAATTCTCGTGTCCAAGAAATGTAATTAGAT